TGACTGCTTTTCTCCTTTCCCGGTCCTGCGAAATTTGAAGACTGTACTTTACTGTCTTACTCTTATTTCACACACTTGCTCCTCCTGAAATGGTGTAACTTAGATGGGTCTCTCACTGTAACAGATGTCTCGTTTCCTGATGGATGGATTGGATTAATGGGGAAAAAATGTTTATAAGTTACCTTTCTGTAAGAGTTTACTCTGAGAGATGTAATAGTAATTATGAAGAACTGGTGTTTGGAATTGGGTAGCTGTTGGTGGATAACTCACCCAGAACTTGCTGACAACCTGCTATGCAGGGCCAGGTGCATCCAAATTCATATTTGAATCGAACGCTCAGGCTGTAGTCTACCAAAGCATTAAGATCGTTGATGTTTGTAGTCTTTGGCCAGTTGCAGTGCTGAGGAGAATTCCTGGAGGCAGTAGCTTTCCTGCAGGATTTAAAAAATGGGTGATAACCAGAGACGGTGCTGGAAAGGGCAGAGGCAAAACAAAGCTCTGTGTTTAGGAAGGAGGAAGAATGTGGTGTGGATGAGTGAGAGGAGATCTGAGAATGAGCTCCAGAAGGCTTTTTTGAATGAGCCTGGGTTTATTTCATGGCTGGAGGGAGCCCCCGAAGCCCTTCACACTGTGGACAGAGGACATCAGACCTGCGCTTTGGGTATTCGGTGTTCCAATTCACATCCAGCCCCCCGCCCCCTCTCCCAGTCTCCCGGGTATACTGTCTCCACTTCACGTTCTTCCACACGGACTCTGTAACCCTCCACTTTCAAAACATTGTCCAGGGTCATAGATGTGTAGATTTTACTTCCTCGGCGTGGCCTCTCAGATCTGCCCACCTTTAGTGTCTGCTGGGCTACTGCGAAGACGTCTTCCATAAACTGCTTGCACATGTTTGAAAAGTCTCTTTAGTGCCCACGTCTCCTCATTTCACACTTCTGCACCCCCTTCTTTGTGTTTTTCCCTTGAAAACCAAATTGACTGCCTCCCCCTGGCGCTCAGGTCTTCCATTCCAATGCCAGCCTAGCTTTGTACTTGTGTGTCTTCGCTTGTTTAAATGCACCCACCAGCAGGCGTAGGTGGCTCACTCCTGGCCCCTAAACACACAGTGCTTTCCCTCCTCGGCGCCCCACTCTTGCCCTGTGTCCAGTGCCATTTTGTCCACTCAGACCCACCTTTGCCTGTCAAAATCCCGCTTGTCCTCAGGTTGTTGTAAATGCTACTTCTTCTGGAAAGCCATTTCCCATTGTTTGCAGTGAATGCAACTTCCTTCCCTTACGTTGTCTGCTTTCAAGCTGTTTGGGGCAGCGTTTCCTTGTAGATGATTCAGTCAGTAAACACGCAAGTGAGGTTCGGCAACATCTTGCCCCCCAGTGGCTTGGCACGTGAGTCTTTGCTGGCTGTTGTTCTCCCGGGGGGGGGGGCCCACCCGAGCCCTGGTCCTCTGTCTGCCTGCAGCACACTGACTGCCCTTGGGGAACTTCTAAGAATACATTACCCCAGTACCTGCACCCCTGTTTTCTTCTTTTGCGTTATCAGCTCTTTGAAGGCAGTCTAGGGCTGTTTCAATCTAATTCGTATTTTCCTGATGATGCTTGTTAAGAGTTAGGTGTGGGTTCTAGAACAGGTAGGTATGGTGTCTGTTCCCTGATAGGTAACCAAGGTGCTTTTGTATAGCTTGTGACATTTTGGTTAACTCGATGAAATGGTGGGTTCCCTTAAAGGAGGAAACCCTGTGTATGCTTGACTGGAATTCAGCGTGAAGTTAGAGGAAGGTGGGGAAGGTAAACACAGTGTAAAATCCACTGAAGCTCATTTGTCTTAGTTTTGTGTCCCCGTCGCAGCCAGCGAACAGCCCACCAGAGTGGGTTCACAGGTTTTGGCTTAATTGAAAAATAAATAGAAATTCTTAGGTTAAAGCTGTTATTTTGTAGCTGGGTTATTAAGAGTCCAGATCACATTGCCTCCTGTCAGGGTTCATCAAGAATTTCTTGTTACTTTTTCCTCCTAGGACCTAGTGCAGGGTATCTCACATCCTATACATGTTTAAGTTTCTAAATAGAAATTGAAACTGTATTTAAGGGTGAAAGGAAACTTTAGTTACAATTCTCATCTCCAACAGCAACAATAATAGAAATTGACATTTCGAGATCAGGATTCTCTATAGAGGAGTTTAAAAGTGTCTTCTAGTAATAATTTGTGTGAATTCAGATATTTTAAATTTGTTATTAGTGATGGGGTAATTAAGACTGGAGATTCACACTTACAGTTGGTAGGAATAGTTTTGGATTTTTTTTCCCACACAGGTTTTCATTCCCCTAGTAATGCTGTTTATGCTAGTTGTTCTTAAAGCAGTTACAAAAATTCACTCTTAGTTTTGGGAAAGAATTCTCCAACTGCTCCTTTCTTTGTATCTTGTTTAGGTGAAAGTTTCCCCTGTGTTCTTTCAAAATTTGAAAGAAATTTTAGATGTCAAAATACATGTTCTTAATTCATTATAATTCTCTTTTGGAGTAAAGCAGGCTTTTACTGTTTACACTTATTTCCGAGTTGCCAGAGATTTCTTCCTGTGTTTCCCCATTCAGTCTGGGCTGCCACAGTCAGGCAGAAAGTGAGAGCACACTTTCTGTCTTGCATCTGTAGTGAATTCATTATTCTTGTGTAGACTTTTTAGTTTTAAAATTTTGTCTTCACCTCACTGATGTTAGTCCCAGCAGCGATATTCCTTTTTAAAGTAGCACAAAACGACACTGACCCGCAGGGTGCTGGCCGGTGGAGGATGGACGCCATGGCCTGACCTCCGTGTGGGTGGCCGGGGCCAGGGGTGTCCCTGCACTCACCACGCACCTCTCGGCCTTGTGGGAGATGACACCTGGTCTTTCTTCACTGGACCAACTGTGCTCACGTTGGTAAACCACCATCCTGACATACTGTTAATTTTGTCAAGTTTAAAATCGAGTTCTAATCAAGATTCAGAAACTCAGTGTGTCTCTGCTTGAGGACGTGGATCCGTTTTTCTCTGCCCCCCAACTCTTGCCACTGTTTTACAGTCATCTCAGGCCTTACCTGCGCCCTTAACCTGGAGGTGCTTTAGATGTGCGTATTTGTGTCACAGATGATCAGTCTGACACCATTAGGATTTAAAAATGGTACGTGTTTCTGAGGGGCAGATGAAACGTGCGCCTGAAAGAGCTGTGTGGCTGGAAGAGGCCGCTTTTCACCTCTGCTCGGGAGCGTAGGCGGGTGGCACCCACGTCTGCCTCCTCGGCTCCCGCCTGGACAAGGGTTGGAAAGATGCATGATGTGTGCAGTCACCACTGCTTGCGCTCGCGGAGGCAGGAAGGGATGCGGAAGAAACTTGACTATCTTCGGAGTAGATCAGGGTTGGCGTTGGGAGAGACAAATGAAACTTGTTTTTCAGTTTTTATTCTTCTCTCCTGTTGGATTTTTTTTCCTTTGTCATATCAGGTTATTTTCACACTAAATAAAATACAGCCCTTTAACACCCGGGGACAGGGATGGGTCCCTTCCGCTCTGCTCCACCCACCAGACCGCACTTCTTGTCCACGTGGAGCCGGGAGGGGCCGCTGCCGCCCAGCCTGATGGTGATGCGCAGAAGGTGGAGGCCGTTTCCCCGCGGCGGGACTTTTACGACAGACTTAGGTGCAGCCCCGCAGCCCGGTCCTGAAGGGGGAAGGCGGCACCCCCAGGGAAAGCATCTCTGAGGCTTGCTGAGCCCTATTTCAAATTCCTCTCTGAGGCGGAGAGGTGATAACGGAGTCCAGAGCAGTTTCCAGGCAGAGTGTGGCGGCCTCATCAGATACAGCTTTGCGGCCTGGCAACTTATAACGAGGGTGGCATGTAATTAGAAATTGTCCCTGTCTTTTCTGAGTGCTGATGAAAACCATGGCTCAGAGGTTAATTCGAATAATAATTAATATTGGTCTCTGTCAGTACAGGGTGGTAATGAAATCTCTCGTTATTTGATGACTTTGACTTTAAATGTTGGGCGAGGAGTGGGAACGGCGTTACTCCTCACACTAATTGTGGGGAGACGCCGACAACGGAATGCAGAATGGCCAAGTTTGCTGTTCGGAAGGTGCCGGGCACGAAATTTCATTGTAGCCTGTGATTGCTTGCAGTTGAGCCTCTAACACGACATGGAGTTACTGCTGTGACTTTGTTTCCTAAAGTGACAGTTACTTAGAGTGACATTAGGCAGGTTTTCCCCATTTCCTACTGTACGTAGTGTTGGTTGCAGGCAGCATCGAATGACCCACTGAATCCTGGCAGGTTACATGTGCACGTTAATCCAAAGACAAAAACATCAAGTGGCCGGAGAGCCTCAGGTGTCCTTTTCAACCTTGAAAGTCAAGGATTCTGTCCACCGGTGCATCACGTTTGCTGAAGATTTTTTCATACATAGAGTTGGGAGTTGACAAATGAAGTAGAAGATACACTGCGGATGGGAGGAGTCATTTGGAGACGCGTGCGTATCTGTTAATACAGATCAGCTGTAGCTTTGCAGACCTGTCAGTGCTAAGTAGAGTTGTTTGGCTGGAATGGTTTTGGTGGAAGGAAGATGTTCAGGCAGGACTGTTTAAAAAAAAATTACAAATGCTAACTGAATCACTTTGTTGTGCATCTGAAACATTGTAAATCAACTATACTTAAAAAAAATTTTAAAAAGTTACAAATGCTTCACTGAGCAACCTGCTCTGAAATCAGTTTTCTGTTTTGAAACGGTTGGTGAGTCCCTCCAGCAGATTCTCTAAGGGTCGTGCTTGGTGTCAGTCCAAGAAACATCACTTTTTGCAGAGAAAAGTAACAATGAGAAAAGGAATTGTATGAAGCCCGAGGGCCTTAAGATGCTTCAGGTGCCCAAACAGTAGAACCTTCCTACCACATGGAAGTAGACAGGGCAGTAGCATCGGCCGCCACGGACCTTTCACCAGGTTCGTTGACTCAGGGCCAGTCTTGTTTCCTTCACACCCACCTGCTTCCCCTATGCTCTGTATTATTTAGAAGCAAATCCCAGACAGTGTATTATTTTATTTTAAAATATTTCAAATATGTGTCACCGAAAGGAAGGACTTCTCTCCGAACTAAATTGCTGTAGAAGCCTGTGTGAATACTTTACGGGGGTTTCTCTCGTTTTAACTCAAGGCAGGGCTGTATTTGAGGAGCGGCATGGAAGCACGTTTTCCTCGCTGGGATGAGGGTGGTGGGTGACAGGCAGTCTTCGTGCTGTTGGGAGCAGTAGGTTTCATTTGATTTCAGGAGCAATCACAGTTCTGAAAAGAGATGGACGGGATCAAAAACACTTTTATTTACAAGGGCAGCGTTCTCTGTAGGGTGTGGGTGTCAAGACCTTCGGAGGCCAGAGGCTTTGGGGAAGATGGTCCCAGTTGGTGAGATCCTCTTCTGCAACCATTGCTGTTTGGGGTAAACCAACAGAGACTGTGGGAGGAGAAATTGTGGAAAAAGCATCACACTGCACTCAAAGTGACCTCCTTTCCCCCCCAAAGCCCCATCTTGTCACTTCTCTGCTTAATACCTTGTGTCAGCTTCTCACTGCCTTCCTGCAGATCGGGAATTTGATGTGATTTCTAAGGCTTTTTCACCCCTCAGCCCCTTCGGGACCCTCACTTTTCTGTCTTGGCCTTGAACGTTCTGCCCTCTCTGCCCCAGGTGCCGTGCAGGCCGCACTCTGTTGGAGCCCCGGCCACCTGCCCTCCCTCACCTGCCCCTCCGTTGCCCCTGGTCCTCTCTCTGGGAGATCTGCCCTGGCTGTTGCCCTGCCTCTAGGCCTCAGTGGTCTGTTCTGCTTTCACTGTCATTACCTGCGGGGACGTGGAAATACCAGAGCCTGGAGCAGCTCAGCTCTCATCAGAGATGTGCTCTGTGAATGGTGGGTGGATGGATGGATGGACTTAACAGGCCAGCAGGGGCGGTGGAGGGGTGTGGAGGTGCAGGTGACGCAGGGGGGAGGGAAAAGGAAGGAGATTCCCCTGGCAGGGGCAGGAGGCAGAGAGAGAAATAGTCTGTCCGAAACATTAGTTTTTCGAGTTTACGGGATGGCTGCCTGCACGTCTCCTGGGACTACGGAGGACTGTGACTGGGACATGAGGGTCTTCCA